ATGTCTTAGACAAAATTGTAGAAAAAAATAAAGACTTTATATGAAAAATATACACTGTAAAATTTGTTCAGTTATTTTGAAAAAAAAATTAAAAAGTTTTAAAAACATAAATATCTTAAAATACTGGCTTTTTAAATATTTAAAACATTGGTTGAAAATCGACTTTTTGTTAGTAGGCTTTTTGTGTATTTTTTTCACGCGAAACAATATTTTAAACATTTTAGATCGTTTTCTATAAATTTCTATCTATAAACAAACAAGTGTACTAACAAAAAATACAAATTTTTTACCAAAAACTTTTGTTGTCAATTTTGATGTATCCGAGTTTTTAAATACTTCAAACAGTTTGCATTCTTCATAAGCTTTTTTAAAATTATATATTAAACAAGGGCATTTTAATTAAACGAGGACATTTTGAGATATTCAAGATTTTAACACATTTCAAGAGCCACATGTGAAAAGGGCTACAAGCTTTTTGCAAACAAACTTTTGTAGGGCCTTTTCTCGCCAACCGTAAACCAACAACATAATCGGGAAGGGGAAAGTTGCTAGTTTGCGTTGGTGTCATATAGGTGGCGAGTAAAAGGCATAAGAAGGTTTGTTTACAAAACACTTGTATGCCATTTTCACATGTTGTTCTTGATTTTTTGATTTTTTGCTCAAAATTACTAAACAAATCTGGGGGGCGACCCCGGCGTAGTGGTTAACATCCATACCTATCACGCCAAAGTCACGAGTTCAAATCTCACCCCCGGACAAGTCACGAATGACCCAAGAGTGTTAAAGTGACCATAATAAAAAAAAAAACTAAGCAAAGTTTAACGTATTTATCTGTCTCTAGAACTTTATCTCAGATGTCACAAATGTGACTGTTTGGCCATAACAAATAACTATGCAAATCGGAGAAAGTCGAAGCAAAAAAATCATTTTGTTTTTGCTAATCAGCCTGGAACTGCTCAGCAGCAGCAGCAGCATTATTGCAAAATCGATTCCACTCGTTCTACCACACTTTGTCAGTGGTAATTTCCGAAAACCGAATATTTTAGAACAACCGACCGGTAATCTATCTCCCGGACGGACGGAGCGAAAACTTATTTTGCATTTCGCCGATCCTGATTCCCGCGACCTTTCGGACCCACGTAGTAGGTGGTGGTAGCCAGTGAACCGGAAAACAACGGGTACGGGACTACCATTCGGATAAAAATTTTATGAATGGTACAAAGGCATTCATCACGCAATTGCTCGACTGGAAATCCCGGTCGTTGGTGTCCTAAATAAATCCTCCGGTAGCTTGGATTCGATTGTTGGAGCGGATGGAAATTTCACGGATGAGTTTTAACGGGACGGTATTATGGGATTGCAAATTAGTAAAATTCTCACACTGATTTACGATATTAATGTAAAACAGGGCAGCCAAGGTTTGGCGCATATTATGTGTATTTATAAAGAAGCTAAAATTGAAAACTACATATCAAGAAGACTGACAACTTTGCATGCAGTAGGTACTTTTATTTTTGCTCAAATGAAGCGCTACTGTATTTGACCTATGGATTCTGGCACAGTCTTCTTTAAATGTTGTCTTAGTTTAAATGCCCATGCATAGGCCTGCGACTTCGATTTTTTCTCCAAAGGAGGACGTCCAACAAGTATTTTATCATCCCAAATCTTGAAAATCTTGATGATAACTATAATAAGTGCAACCTGCATACAAATTCTAGGTAAGCGTGATTGCCTCTCATCCCGAAAAACCTGGGTTCAATCCCAGTCGGCGCCGCAAGGATTTTCTGAGGCTTAAAATCTCTGATCACGCCCTTCGGAAGAGAAGTAAAGCCGTTGGTCCCCGGTCTATGAGTTGATGGGTCGATAGGTAGGGTCCAGGTGTGGGAACTGCCTCCCTGGCGTCGGTAGCATTGGTGCTCAGCACAGAAAACATGATCGACGGAAAACAAATCAAGGAAAATTAAAAATACTAAGCCTGAAATTTGAAACTGTTTTTGTTTTCATCCATAATAATGTTTTTCAAAAAATATAAGAAGTACAAAACCATGCAAAGGGTTTCCGGCCATTTGACCGAATGCTGTTTGGCCGAATGTTTTAGAAAAATCAATTGAGAGTATTTTTTGAGACTCTCCAAAAGTTTTGGAAAATTATAACAAGTACAGGGAAGTTTAAGTAAGCTAAGGGGCTATCCAAAAACTAAGTAGAAAGTAGGGTGGGTCAACTTTATATGGCAGATCACACGCTTGCTTTTTTGCGAAGAAGTTGAATCGATTTACGATCTTCAACTAAGTTGGTTTGCACAATTTATCTCAATCTCTGTCCCAGTTTTAGTAAAAATTTAGCTTTTTTTAGTTTTGATAAGCAAATCAATAGTTTTGTTCCGTTTCCCATACAGCTTCTCATACAAACTTTAAAGTTCTCCCGCAAATCAAGATCATAACCAAATTCGTTCAAATTTGGCACACTTGTTGGGGACCTCAATGCAGATCGAAAGAGCAGTGGGAAGCATGGGGTTGTTAAATTGACCCACCCTAATGTAGGCAGTTTAGACAAGTTTCTACGGTTCATATCACTTTAAAAAAATCGAAAGAATAGTTCTCTATGGAGGCCTTTACAGAAATTTAATAAATGCAGAGATTTCCGGAGAAAATTGGGGCACTTTAACCCTCCGAAAAACGTGTAACGGTAATGCCTTGTTCAGACTACAGAGTTATAACATGTTATAGCGCTATCTTGATGGTGGTTTCTGTGTTGCAATTATTTGACAACCGTTATAACATGTTATAACTGCTCAGTCTGGCCAGCGTTTAAGTTTGCAATGACATGTAGCTTAAAATGACCAATCCATGAAACTGATCGCTGTTTTTCAATAGTTGGAATTGTGATATAAAAAATAATTTTGGGTTGTGTTGTAAACATAAGATCGTGAATATCCGTAAAAGTGTTAAATCCATGAAACTGATCCTCAACTCCGTAGGTATTTTTTAATATTAGGAACAGATTATAAAAATGAATTTGGGATCATGACAAATAACATGGATGCGGATGGCTATGGGACCGTCGTCCGGGAGATCCGAAACATCCGTAAGAGAGCCAATTCCATGGAACTAATACTAGAGTTTCGTGTTTTTTTTTAATCGTCTACTGAAATGTTTAGATTTTTCCTTCTACCAACACATAAGTGGGGGCTAGATCTCCACACCTTGTATAGACCGAAGTAAAAGAAAGCTGGGTCAATTCAAGATTTTTGGCAAAGGTTCAGCCATTTTGGAATTCTCAGCTGATGCTGAACACTTTGTTTACAAAAATGTCGAGGAATTTCGTATAAACAAGATCTTTGATTGGCTGATGTTCATAGCCATCCAGGTCCATGTTTATGTCTCGAATCAAAAAAAAATACTGTGGAGCTCTACAAGGGACAGCCCTATGAGGTTGTTTGTACGCAATGGTGACGTAGGACTACGTGGTCTTATATAATAAATCTTATTTGTTAACTGCAGCAGGAGCTTGTGTTTTGTGTAGGAATAGGAATTTGAGCAGGGTTCTCTCTGTTTATACTCTTTCGTAAGACGCGCTTGCCCACAGCAACTCACGAAGAGCTGCTGATTCTGATCAATAGCGGTGCGGCTTCTTCCTCCTTCTATGGATGCTTAGGTGGGCTGCAGCTCGCTGCTTGCAGGCAGCCTATCGTTGTGTACTACAGAACATCACCACTGACCACGCGGTGATTGATTAAACACCGTTTGGAGAGACCGGATGGAATTCAACTTTGAAATCTGTGTGTTTTCGCAGGCAATCGGTGATAATTTTAATTATCATAGCAACATTTGCACATCCGTTAAATTTTCAATAGTGACATTTTGAAAAATTACAATGTCTTAAATTTAACAGATGCGTAGAAATATATCTGATCGATTGGTGAAGAAATTATTGAAATTGGTCCAGGGGCAGCTGACTTATTAACGTTCAAAATCTTTCATAATTTTGTTACATGTTCCATTCGGGGGGGGGGGGACTTTAGGGAACAGCACTTTTTATCTGTTCAACAACTTTGAAAACGTTATCTACCTTCAAATCTGTTTCCAAAGACACAGGGTCTTCTAGTTTGACTGATTTTTTTTTTTTAATTTGGAGTTGTTGAAGATCCCGGGTGCGGTAAAACTACTCCGACTAAAAATCCATGTTAGTTTTAGCGCCGAAATTCAAACGATTTTTTTTTCAAATTTGCTTATTTGGTAAGACTTTTCTTCCTGCTAGGATTTTTACGTTTATGTAGCGAGCGTTTTGCCGGCTCTCAACTTAGTGTTCTAGATCCACTTCAACGTTTTTAATTGAGAGCTGTATATGCCAACACCATTGCATGATTTTTGTATATTGTGTGTCAATCTCAATGATATTCTATGCCCAAGGAATTGATAAAATTTCCAACCCGAAAGATTTCCTCGAGCGGACCGGGAATCGAACCCACCGCCTCCGGTTTGGTTATTGTGTGCTTTACTGACTAGGCTATCTGAGGCCTGGTAAAGCTCGATTGTTAAAAAAAAAACATGACGGAGCCGACAAAAAAAATCAGAATTAGTTAAAATATAGTTCCGAAACAGTGGAAATTTACACGATAATTAATGTGAATTTACAAGAAATATGGTGTAAATTAACAAGCTTGTTAAAAATTGCGTTTATACTCAACTTAGCTAAAATTACAACGGGAATATTTTCCACGACGAGCTAATTAAAAAAACAGGGTTTGCACAGAATCTAAAATATTTTTCTGGATCAAGGATCTTAGTTTTGTTGTTTCTCAGTGGACGATATTTTTGCGATATTAAATTTTTGATCTTTATTGAATTTTATTGATTACTAATTTTATGAAAAATTTGCAAAAAATTAGTAATCAATAAAATTTTGAAAATGTCAGTTTTAAAAAAGAGCGTTGGCGATGTTATCAAAAGCCTGTACGACTTTACGATTATCCAAGTAACTAATGTAAAATGTAAAAACAATTAGCTCATTTATTCCAACTCACAATCTTGAATTAATATGAATAGCCAAAACGCCGTCATTGCTGGTGTGTGGAAGGTGAATGTTGGCACGTCCATCGCCGCCCACTTGCACCACAGTCCCAGTGCAGCCTCCAGCTTCCTTGTTGCCGGAAATGACGTCACAGTAGGTACCAGCCGGCAGGCAAGTCTGCATGCTCTGGTTCAGATCGAAGCTCTCCAGGTTGAAGGCAACGAAGCCACTTCCACCGCGACAGAATGCAATCTGCTGGGATCCGTTGGACCACCAATCGTTCAGCCCCGTACCGCGTACGGCATTGCGGAACCCAACCATGTTCGCGATCTGACGCCAACGGTGCTCGCAAGCCCATCCATTTCCACAGCTTCCGTCGGGGTTGATCGATGGGGAAATCAAATTTCCGTTTGCGTCCATTGGTGGTCCCTGGTCCCCGTTGTCGAAGAAGAACGAGCTCATCACGCGGACAATACCGTACGGGTGGGCCAACATGAAAGCACTGGCCATTTTGTAGTTCTTGGGCAGCTTATGGGTGAGAACGTTTGAGCCTCCAGCTCCGTGACCACGCTGATTGTCGTGGTTGTCAACGAATACCAAAGCCAAGTGCGATGGCAAGAATCCCCACTGTTCACCCCAGTTCGATAGATGTGCCAGACTGTCGTAGGCTCGGAACGATCGTCCAATCTCGGCCGAAAAGCGGAATTCGGTCACCGTTCCTAAATGCGTGTATTCGTACTTGGAGATGGCTTCGCTGCCCAAATCAATGACTTCCTGGGTGATGAATGGCCTGGCTCCCTGTGGGAATCCATGGTTGGTATTAAGGTTGTTCAGACGACTGAAGACGTGTTCCAAATCTCCCGGCCACATGTGCTTGGTGGCATCCACACGGAATCCAGCTACACCATAACCGATGATCTTGTTTAGCAAATCAACTATACGATCCCGTACCCATTGTGTTCCGAGAGCCAAATCCGGCATATTGACCAGCCAGCAGTTTCGGACTTGATACACGTTATTGTAGTCTTCAATCGCACAATGCGGATTGAAATCGTTCGGTCCGAAAGGCACAGCAGGGTAGTTTAATCCATCAACTACTGATCCTCCGGTTCCTAGTCCAGAATAGTCAGACATATGGTTAAAGACAATATCGGCGTAGATCCGCACGCCAACCTGATTGCAGCGCCTCACCATGCTGGCGAACTCGGCTTCCGTGCCGGAGCGGGTGTTCAGATGGTACGAAGCCGGTTGGTAGCGCTCGAACCATGGTCTTCCCCCGATGATGATGTTTTCCGTCGGTGGAGAAATCTGCACTCCGGCGTATCCCTTCGGCGCCAAGAACCGTTCGCATTCGGCAGCAATGTCGTTCCACTTCCACTCGAACAGATGCACAATACCGTTACGATCGGCCCACTGATGGGTATCGAATTGGGCCGATGCCACAGTGGCAAAAGCTACCAAGATGAAGCTTGCCCACAGTTCCATTTCCGTCACTTTGAAGAACTGATTTGAAATTTGATTCCCTTGGCCTTTTTTATACCGAAAAGTCTTATCAGCATCCACGATTCGACGATTTGCAAAGGATTATGCTGAAGCACAGCGAATTGGTAACGGCTAATCTCAACCAGCTGGAGAGATAGCCATAAAGAGGAGCTTAACATTTTGAACACAGATGCTGATAGCGGTGGCGTATCTTTATAGCACGACAATCGATTTGGAAAGAGTTCATACAATAGGACGAATTGATGAATGAACCTCAAACAATCACCGGAGGGCGGTTTAAGTGCCCCCTAGCCTAGGCTTGAAGTTTCAATTAACCTTTTGTCGGTATCTTGGGATCAATATGACCCGAGGATTTATTTGCAATTTTGATTATTCATTAAAACGATTTTTTCATGCTTAAGACTTCTTGATATGTCTGCCTCTTAGTTGAGACATCTTTCTAATTTTATTTAATATCCGTTTTGAAGGATTTTCTCAATGAACTTAGCTTTATTTTAGAGGTACAGACAAAGTGTTAACAATTACCCGAGCAAAGTAAAATAACAACCTGATATCATCTTGAAAACAAGTCTTGTTATTCCAGATATCATTTTGTTTTCAAATGTTATCGCATAACTAATTTAGTTACCAACCACGACTAATTTTATTATCATAAAAGAATATGCAAGGTTAGTACAAAACTTCAAATATTATCCACATGGTGAGAAAAAATACACTGCCAATCATATTTCAGCTAAGGTTTTAATACCAAATCGATTAAATAATTTGGAATTTTATTTAAAAAATTGGCATGGATCACAGGATTTGTTATCAAGATGTTTACAATGATAACTAAATCAGTTATTTTTGTGATACCCCAGAAGTATTCTTTTGTTATAATTTTTGTTATGTTGGTTGTTTATTCAACCACAGTAATAACATGTTCAGTTATCAAATCTTGATAACCGGATTTCAGAACTTGTTATCAATTTGGGATAATCCTTTGCTCGGGTACAGGTGTGATAAGGCGGCACCTCTTTCGTTGTTTTCTATCACAAATTCTACCATCACGCTCTGATTGAGTCAGCAAACGTGTATTACTGAAAATTACTTTCTAGCTCTTTCCTTTTTCGGAAACGTCATAAACGAGCTCGATAACCTATATGGTGTCACGTTAGGCTGATAACTGGGAGGGGAAATCCCTTATCGACCGAGCATATCAGCGGGAAATCCCAATTTTGGAAAACAAGTGATTAGGACCACACTTTTCAGCTGTTAAAATTTGTTATCTAGTTTATACTGCAGTCAGTTCATATAGAGGTCTTGAGCAGTTGAATACGTATACAGTATACTGCAGCATTCTGTAGGAAGATTTCGCGTGGATTTTTCAGAGCAGGCAGTTCAATCTGAAAGAATAGCTCAACGATAAGTTTGCAAATAGAAGTAAGTGAATTTATTAACAAGGGGCCTCAGATATTCTAGTCAGTAAAGGCACGGTATTACCAAATCGAAGGCGGCGGCATAAAAAGCTCTTAATTAATAACTGTGGAAGTGCATTTAGAAAACGGAGATCCGGAAAAACGCTCGCTACAGAAGCGTAAAAAGCTTAGACAAAGAAGAAGAAGCATTAGTGAAAAATTACTTCGATCGTCGATTTGTTTTAGAGCATAAATTAACTTAGACTCGACCTTCTCCGGTTTGCATGAAAATTTGCATAATTGATTGTTATAGTCAATCATTCATATTTGAGCTAAAATTCGACTATTTTGAATCTCGTAAACATAATATATGAATAAATTATTATAAATTTTCATATTTTTAAACATATCATTACTCGAAAATTCCCCGGAGGCGTTGTCCCCGGGCTATGAGTTTATGGATCGATAGGTAGGGTTCAGGTGTGGAAGCTGCCTTCCTGGCGTCGGTAGCATTGATACTCAGTACGGAAAACAAAATCGACAGAAAACAAATCAAGAAAATAAATATCCCGAAGCTTCATGAAAGAGTTTGATGAGCATTCTCATTGAACCTTAGGTATAATTTCAAAGGAATTCGGAGGATAATTCCAAGGAAGCTCTGGGAAGAATTGTGACGGAAATTTCAAGTCGAATCTAGTGATTACTTTCGAGGTACTTTTGATGAACTTCAAAATTCAGATGAAACCTAAGGAGAATTCCAATGTAGTTCTGCGTAGAATTCCAAAGGAACCCTGAATCATTTAAAGGAAATTTTGCAAAAACATCCGGTTGAAATTGCACATTTCACATTTCTGATCATAATTTAACGATGAATATTCTTACAAAATTTGGAGAAAAATTTCAAGGAAATAATTAGGGGAGTTAAAAATTAATTCCTATGGCATTTTGAAGAGCATTTTTTTGAATTTAGAAGGAATCCCGAGAATAATTCCTTGGGAATTTCTCATTTTTCATTTTGCAGCGTTTGGTGGGGCAATGGGAGCGCAAGTCAATCCAAAGCCGAGGATAAAGGATGGGTAATGGCTGAATAGTATATGCGGACCACTTGAACGCCATGGGAAAAGGAAGGGATTGAAGAGGTCGGTTATTGAGGGGTTTTGAGCAAATGACACTTAGTACTAGATTTGTGCTGCAAAATATAAAGATACCGAAAATCCATCTACCACTGGTTCATCCTTTCACATATATACCAAATTGATATTTTAAAGCAATCATCAAAATAAACAGATAATATATGAAAAGGCTAGTTGCCAGTTGCTTTAAAAGCTAGTTGCCTTCCTAAGCTGACCCCCCGCATTCCAACTCTTTTGTTTATCTACTTAATGTTATTAGGCTGTCTAAATATTCTTATTTAAGTTCGTTTGATGATTATGATATCTCATTAGTCTAATTTAATAAATAATTGAAATCTAATCCTAATCAATCATAACTCATGCTTTATTAAGTACCTAAACTGCTATGTTATCTAAAATTTAACGTGTTTCAAGTAATTTTGACATTGATCTATATTTATTATAGCTTAGATCGACCCAGGTGACACCTTCAAGTGACTAAAATGCTTCACTTTGAAGTTAGTTTCCTAGCTGATTTTTAAATTACATAGGGTATATGCTCCTACCAGGGCTCTACATTTTCGAAGCTCTAAAATAAACTCGTGTTTTGTTTCTCTCATACATACGTGTTCGACGCTTCATTTCTACAACGCCTAGCTAGACTATCAGCAAGAAACGAAAATAAAAAAGCAGGACGCTTAGAAGGAAAGGCTGGCTGTGGAACTTCTCGTCGTTGCTTTGCTCATCGCTTTCAATGTAACTAACGTCGATTTTCTAATTAAACGAAACCTCATTATGGCTTTCAATCCCCTTTCACGAACACTCTATCACCGCTCTTTCAATTTGTTTAAAATGCGTTATGTCCCGTTTTCGATCATTTTTTTTAGATAAATATATGGATGGAAGATAAATTAAAAATATTACGTGTAATCTTCAAGTGTATTCACGTGAGAAATGCTTTAAATATATAATTTCATTTTCCGTCATATACGTCATGAAACCTCTATTGATGTGTTTCATGAAAGAGAAAACTATCAAAGCCGAGCGCTCTTTCACTCATCCGTTTCACAGAAGCTTGAAATAAAGACCAATGGAGCGACGGGAGAAAGAGAGACAAGCGATTGAACATTTGTTTGTGCACGCCGACTGAGGTTCTAGAATGCTGTGAAGCTGTTCGACTTTAACAGAAAAAGAAAGTCGATTGAAGCTGATATTGTGACGCCCTGGCTCCTACACTCACACGTTTCCATTCTGTCGCACTACAAAAATACGTATGGGTATGTCACAATAGAAGCACGCCACAGTGGAAATCCCGAGCCATAGTTCAAACATTTATCCCAAATCAAAATGAAGCACATATAAGATTAGTTACAATACCATGTACAAAAATGATGTTTAACATTGTTCCCTGAGTAATGCTTCAATGAAAACAACAATGAAAGCTTGTCATGCAAGTAGAAGGAGCATTGTTGGGCACTTTCTGAAATATTTCAATAGTATAAAACCTGGAAAACTCAGGGAATTCTATTATGCAAAATTAGTAGACACGCTGTCCAGAAGATTCTGCCTGTTTCTCCCAGATATTTCAAAGGCTCCTTCTAACTCCTACGAAAGCTTTTTCCGACTTCCCCCAAAACATAAAGCGAATTTCCCAGAAGTGGTTTCCCGTGTGGTGTGATCTACTTTTGTATTTACTATGCATTTGCTAAAACTAAACTAGAGTATAAGAGAGAAGCCAAGCGGATTCAAAACAAACTACCTTGGCAACCTATGCCTAGGTGATTTCTAGCAACACTGCCAATGCAATCAAGATAGGCGCGCTGCTCGATTGGCTCTGGCTTTGACAGTTCGTTTGACTCAAAACCGCAAGTCCGCTCTTCTCTTATACTAGACCATCTCTATCTAAAACATGCCGATTCCCTGATTTCTGGGAATTGTGACACGAAATGTTTGATAAATGCTGATTTTGGATAGAAAACACTAGTCTAACCACTTAGCTCGCTGAGCTCCTCTGCGTCTTGTACCGGTCGGATTCGAGGCAAACACCTGCTTGTTTTTAATTATGTTCCTCAAAGATGATCCTAATATTAAACAGGCGTCGTTCGAAAACATCGAGTGCTTGTAGGTCTTCCTCAAGCAAGGAAAACTACCTATCATAACAGCGTCTTGTACATGGTACACTTAAGGTGTATTCAGAGTTGAGTGTGCATTAGCAGAGCGGAGCAAATTTTGCGTTGGAATGAGAGAGACAACTATTACTTCTCTCCCTCTCATACTTTCGAAAAATCTCGCCCCGCGCCTCGCTCAGGACGGAATTTACATTTAGTACGGGGACGAGGTTTCAAGGTTTAGCTGAGTCCGTACTGAGCACGAATTTCGGCAAATACGAGGCTCCGAATTTCTCTGGTGTTATCTGACATCACTAGGGTTGTAGTACCGGTAGTACTGGTACCAGTTTTACCGGTAATACCGGGTGATTTTCGGGTACCAAAATACCG